TTTTTCCCCTGAGACAGGGTCTCACTCTGTTGCCCAGGCTGGAAGGCAGTGGTTCAATCTTGGTTCACTGCAGCCTCTGCCTCCTGGGTTCAAGCAATTCTCCTCCCTCAGCCTCCCAAGTAGGTGGGATTACAGGCACCCGCCACTACGTCTGACTAATTTTTGTATTTTTAGTAGAGACAGGGTTTCACCATGTTGGCCGGGATGGTCTCGACCTCCTGACCTCACGATCCACCTGCCTTGGCCTCCCAAAGTGCTGGGATTACAGGCATGAACCACCGTGCCTGACCTACTTCGCGACATTTTACAGTGGTCCTAGCAGACTAATACAGTTATGCTGTTTGAAAATGATTTTCTAAGCATGATTACATTTATCTCCCATCTATATAGTAGTCAAGGATTCTGGGACTGTTTTAATTCTCACTTTTTTAAAGTATTCTTTTACAGTTTTCGTTTCCTCTTTGAAAAATGTTAATATAATCTTTTTATATTTAAACTTCTGAAAATATATCCTCATTTACTAAGGGAATTGAGCCTAAGATATAAATATATTTAAAAGCCAAAAAATTATTTTATTTTTACTTAAAAAGGTGTCAATTTTTCTTCTCTTTTTCTCTCCACTGCCTCCACCTTTTTAAAATTTTGACAGTCTTCTGGATGTATCTTATATGTGTATACTTTTTTATTTTATATTTTAATCATGATTTACTTTCTTTCTCATCTTTTGAAATGTTTCTTTGAATTTATTTTCCAATATATAGATGGACTTTTTAAACATATGTAATCATTTAAACAGGACTCTATAATTTACAAATCTCCTGTCTCATCTGAATCCCTAAGTTCTGAGCAAATTTGAGAGTTTCTTTTTTTTTAATGGCAAACAAATGAAGACTAAGATCTTCATCTTTACTATTTATAAGCTGATGATTGAGAATCAACCATCTACCATAGTCTTGCTTTCTTTTATAATCCAGCTTGCTAATCTGTTCCTCTGTATAAAATGGAGCGCTTAAAACTGGACCCTTTACTTACACCTTACACAAAAATTAACTCCAGATGGATTAAAGATTTAAAGATAAGACCTAACACCATAAAAACTCTAGAAGAAAACCTAGGCAATACCATTCAGGACCTAGGCATAGACAAGGATTTCATGACAAAAACACCAAAAGCAATGGAAACAAAAGCCAAAATAGACAAATGGGATCTAATTAAACTTCAGAGCTCCTGCACAGCAAAAGAAACAATCACTAGAATGAACTGGCAACCAACAGAATGGGAAAAAATTTTTGCAAGCTACCCATCTGACAAAGGGCTAATATCCAGAGCCTACAAAGAAATAAAGCATATTTACAAGAAAAAACGAACAACCCCATCAAAAAGTGGGTGAAGTATATGAACAGACACTTTTCAAAAGAAGACATTTATGTGGCCAACAAACATATGAAAAAATGCTCATCACCACTAGTTATTAGAGAAATGCAAATCAAAACCACATTGAGACACCATCTCGTGCCAGTTAGAATGGGGATCACTAAAAAAATCTGAAGACAACGGATGCTGGAGAGGATGTGGAGAAATAGGAGCACTTTATATATACAAAAGTTCCTTGGAAAAGCTTTTGGATTAAGATAGGAGGCTGCAAAACTCTATGGGAGTCCTAAATTAAGGAGGGCTCTTTTGAGATGGCAGGCCTGCATCTAGGGGACAGGCTTGCTGAAGACAGTCCTGGTAACAGGCCTGGAAATGACTCATCTCACTATAGACTAAGCTACAACCTTGTCTGGCCTCAGTCCTGCAAATATAACCACCTGCCAAAGAACCAGAAGAAATCATGTCCATTCATGCCTTGGGTAATAGGCCTTTGTTTCAGCTTTGAAGTAACCATGTAATGCATCTCCACTCTCTTCTCTCTCAGCTATGGCCTGAGAGCAGTTGTTCCTGCACCTATAGGTAGAGAAGTCCATTCATGTGTCTTGAGGCAGGCCTAGATAATAACACTCTGACCATAAATTGCAATACATATAAAAGGATATGAATAATACAATTATATTCTTCAACCACGATGAGATAAGATTAAAACTTTGTAGCAAAAACAATTTCAGAAACTCACAAATATGTCAAAAGTAAACACCATACCACCACAATAATCAATAAGTCAACCAAACTGTGAGGAAATAATACTTTGATGCTTTCATAATTTAAACTTTTATTTTAATAGAAATAGTGGCAAAATGTGAAAATTCATGACACCTCTAAAGCAGTTTTTACAGGGAAATTTATCATTGCAAATGCTTGTGTTAAGGAAAAATGAAGATCTCAAATCTATAAACTAAACTTCCACATTGAGAATCACAAAAGAAGAGAAAACTACACATGTGGAAGGAAGTAAATTTTAAAGACTAGACTAGACTGCAAATTAATAAAATAGAGGATAGGAAAGCAAAAACAAAATTAATAAACCCAAAACCTGTTTATTTGGAAAGCTAAACAAAATTGACAAACATTTATCTACATTGACCCAGAAAAAAAAGAGAAAATTAATTCAAATTACTAGAAAAAATAATTAAGGGAGGCATTATTATAAACATTATGGTAATTAAAAATCCAAAGGAATACTATAAAAACCATGTAATATTTAGATGAGATGGAGACATTTCTTGAAAGATGCTAGCTACTGAAACTGACTTTAGTAAATAGAAAATCTGAATGGACCTATACAAATGGAGATATTGAATTAGTAATTAAAAAACAAAAATTACCAAAATAGATGAGCTCAGATTTGGATTATAATCCAAGGTATAAAATAAATATCCAGAAGTCAATATTAATATTAATAAATGATTGAGTAAATAAGAGGAAAGAGAAAAATCTCTCACACAATAATTTCAAGTAGATAATCTGACTTCATGGTTTCCCACTCTTTCAGTGTAGGCTTTGCAAAGTGATTCCCTTTTAAAAAGTACAGTATGGAAAGAGGGATTTTTGAAAAGAAAAAAGATTAAGTTGGCAGTGGAGAAACATAAAAAATACTATCCCAATCGCATGAATAAAGTCATCCTTAACAGTGATGTCATGTTGCTAATATGTATTATTGATATGATGCAATAAAAATGATATTATTCCTCTGTGGTCTTACTCCCCAAAACATGTAAACCTACTGTAATAATGCGAAAAGCATCAGAAAAATACTTATAGAGGAACATTTTACAAACTGTAGTAGTCCTCAAAAATGCCAAGATAATTGAAGACAATGAAAGAAGTCTGAGAAACTTTTAAGGTTAAAAGCAGTCTATAAACACATAATGGCTAATGTAATGTTATATCCTGGATTGGATCTTGGAGTACAAGAAGAATATAAGGAGAAAAACTAAAAATTTCTGAATAATATACAACTGGGGATAATAAACTATCAATGTTATTTCACTAATTGTAAAAAATACACTCTACTAATATAAGATGGTAATAACAGGGCTAGCTGAGGGCAGGATCGATGATAACTCTGCACCATATTTAAATTTTTCTATAAGTTTAAAACAACTTAAAATAAGTTTACTTTAAAAGAAAAGCATGGTTAATAATGCAAAGAAAAATGGAAGTTTAATCAAGATATTGATGTTGAATTTAGTAACAAGTAGAGCACTAGAAATATCATAAACTGCAAATCAGTGGAATCATGAAGATGAAAATCAGACCACAGCAGATTCAGGTTTGAGTGTAAGGTGATGAAGTTGAATTAATGAGTATACACAATTCTTTAAGGATATTTTCTTGTTCTATATAAATTAAAAACAGATATTTCAGTTGATCATTTTAGTTGAAAACAAAGCCTTCATAGCATAACATCTCAGAATTTTCTAGTAATTAAAATATGTATTTGTATAAATCCCATAATTAACAATGAAGAATATAATCTCCAAAAATACGTTGAGCATTTCAGTGCAGAATGCCATTGGGAACACAGAAAAGGATGATCAGGACAGTATATGGACGGGAACACAGGAAATGAAGAACTGTATTCCTTCCTGCTCAGCTTATAAGGAACACATTTTAAGATGCAGAACAACTTGAGACTGCCACCAATAATTTAGAAATGTACTGAAAACCCAGATTTAAGAAAATGGACAGCAGTCTGGATCTCATAGCGTCTCTACTCATAATAGAAAACCCTCTGTAGATTCCTACATACATCATCACTGTTTCTGCTTTATTCCAATTTATTTGATTAATTTGGTCCAACTTTTCTTTCTTCTACACTTCTAAAAGTTTGCTAGGTTTTATTTATTTATCGTCCATTTTTGATATGAGGTTCTCCTACTAGAAATATTTTGTTTCCCTGAACAGAGGATAAAAACTTGCATTTAAACATTTTTTAAATTAAGTTAAAGAGTATGGGAAAACTTTTGAAATCTAAATCTTACTCTGATATATTGAGGACCCTCACAGTGTGTAATGAATATCTTCACTGTAAAATGTAACTACAGCTTTATTCTCTGTATTGAAAATATACAGATTAACTATTATCAAGGTTTACATACAGTATCTTAAAGTCAAAATATCATTGGTAACATGAATTCAAAATCCTACACTACATTAAGTATTCTCATAAATATTAAGAGAATGAGGGAAAGATATGTTTCAGAATCTCTGTCATCTACACTTCATCTTTCTTGAATTTCTTCAGGATTCTGTCACGAATCTGCTTTGTCTTAACACTGTAGACGATGGGGTTCATGAGAGGTGGAACCAGCAAGTAAACATTGGCCATGAGCACGTGGACAATTGGGGAAGCATTCTGTCCGTAGCGACGGATCATAGATAACCCGATCATTGGCGTATAGAAGGTGAGTACAGCACAGATGTGAGAGATGCAAGTATTGAGGGCTCTCACTCTCTCTGTCTTGGAGGCTACACTCAACACTGTGCTCAGGATGAGGACATAGGAGAGGAGGAGAAGCACTGAATCAAGTCCCATGGAACAGATAACCACCATGAGGCCATAGATGCTGCTGAGTCGACGGTTGGATACAGTTGTCTTTATGAGGTCCTGGTGCAGGCAGAAAGGGTAGGACAAAATATTGACATCATGATACTGAAGCCTCTTCAAGAAGAAGGAAGTTGGAAAGACCAGAGCCAAGGCCCTTCCAGCAATTGCCAACCCAATCCCAATAATTACATCATTGGTTAGAATGGCTGCATAGTGCAAGGGTTCTCTGATTGCTATAAAGCGATCAAAGGCCATAGCCAGGAGTACAGCTGACTCAATAATTGAGAAAACATGAATGAAGTACATTTGGACCAGACAAGCATTGAAGGAGATCTCCCGGGCATGGAACCAGAAGACACTGAACATGGTAGGCAAGGTAGTGGTAGACAGGCCCAGGTCAGTGAATGCCAGCATTGACAGAAAGTAATACATTGGTTGGTGCAGGGAAGACTCGGTTCTGATAATGAAGAGGATGCTAATGTTCCCGGCAATCGAGGTGGCATAAACCAAGAAGATGGGGAGGGAAATCAAGTCATATCTGCTTTCAAGGCCTGAGAGGCCCGTTAGGAGGAAGCGAGGGTAAGAGGCAGAACTATTGAAGACAGACATTGTGCTCAAGGATGAACCTAGAGTCCAGGTGAGGAAACAAGAATATGGAAAATTAGGGTAAAAGTCAAAATTGTAATAAGAAACAATAATTTATGCTGCTCTGTGTTTAATGTTTTTTTAATCATGTCTGTGCTCATTATATTTAATCACCACCTGTGTTTAATATTTTATCAATTAATTTAGTTTTCTTCACTGTGCATTTGTTGAAATCCTTTTTTTTTTTTTTTTAATTTGAGACGAAGTCTCACTGTCCTCTGTCATCAGGCTGAGTGACGGTTGTGCAGTCTCGGCTCACTGCAACCTCCACCACCCAGGTTCAAGCATTTCTCCTGCCTCAGCCTCCTGAGTAGCTGGAGCTGTAGTCACACACCATGACGCCCAGGTAATTTTTGCATTTATTAACAGAGACGGGGTTTCACCATGGTGCCCAGGATGGTCTCGATCTCTTCACCTTGTGATCCACCCACCTCGGTCTCCCAGAGTGCTGGGGTTATGAGATCATATTTTGGAGATAGGATCTTGCTATGTTGCCTAGACTAGCATTGAACTCCTGTTCTCAAGCAATCCTCCCACTTGGGCCTTCTAAGTAGCTGGGACTACAGGTGCACACCACTGAACCAGAGAACATATTTTATTAAAGGGAATCTGGCATTGCTAAAAAAGATAAATATATAAGAAATGCCATCAAATATGTACAAACTAGTGGATAGAGAGCTTAAGTTAAAATTAAGTATTAGTTTAACATTATAAAGTTGATATTAAAAAAAAAAAAAAACGATATAAAGCACAGAAGAGACAACTAACCTCATCCAGGTAGGTTGGGGAGGATTTATTGAAGGAGAGTCTTAAATTAGGTCTCAAATGACAAGTACTAGGTGGATGGGATAAAAAAGCTGTGATGTACTTCCTGTACTTATTAAAATCCATGTAAATACAATAGTGTATTAGAGAGTATTACAAATGTCAAAAACTATAATTGAGCAAAGCTGTAGGATAGATGGCTCTTCATATGGTTCTTGAAGCTAAGGTTAAATAGAAGTGAACCAGAATTTCTGAAGGAACTTGTGTGTAAGTATAAGAAGCTTGGATGTAATCTTAGAGGACACAAGGCACTCATTGTAACAGTAAACAACTTGTTCAGATTATAATGTATCTATGTCAGAATACAATCAATATCAAGAGTGATCTAAAGGCTGACAAGAGAGAAGGCAGGAAAATCAGTTAGGAGACTATTGTAGTCATAAAAAAGGAGTGGATGAAAGTGAACTCTAACAGTGGGTATTATGAAGAATAAATAGGTATGAAAGTTACATGGGAAGAACAAATAACATCAACAACATGGTTCATAGTATGCTAAGAGTGAGAAAAAGAAAGAAATCCAGAATAGATTTATTTATTTGATAATTTTTTCCTGTCATTTATTGAAGAAACAAAATACCTGCCTAGAAATTTGGTGAAACCAATGGGCCAGATAATTCCTGTTTTGTTATGATAAATTTGACCTGTGTGAAAGAGATAATGGTATATTTTTCTATAAAAACAAAGAAAGAACACAATGCCAAGTTATAGAAAGAGAATAAAAGAGTTATGTGCTCAGGGCTCAGATACCACAATAAACCAGAGAAGATAGGCATTACAGCTGAAGCTCGAGAAATCTGTTACTTAGCATCATAATGGCCACCTGACTGCTGTAACTCTGGGCACCAAACGTCAAAAACATGTTGATTTAGCATATTTCATTTCAAAGTTTTGCCAAAATTTACATGGTCCATTCTCCAACCTACCCTTCTCCACAAATATAATCACAATTCCATTTCATCCCTAATAGAAATAATTATAAAATAACTAATTCTGCCTCATTCTATAGAGATGATGATAATTGTCTATTCTGTTACTTTTTAGGGGCAGATACAAAACGAAGAACAGAGGAGAATTATTTTGCATATTCTCATCCTACATTTAGTGATTTATATACTATACTAATTATAGAAACTGATGGTCTTTATATACCTCCTTCACTTTCCCCGCTTTTTATATTATAGACTTCTGTTCTGCTTCATTGCTGAACACTATGTCAATACTTTGGCACTGTCACATAATTACCTTTTTTCTTGATGCCCACCCTCAAATTTTTCAGTAGTCTTCAGCATCTCCATCCTGCCTAGGCACACCATGTCTTCCCTCTTCAATAACTTTTTCCCACTTCTTTTTATGAAGGTGCCTGGCTTAGGGAATTCATAATCTGACTTCCCTGATACAGACCCAGGCAGCCAACTCTCAGTGGCTATATCTCTAGACTCAGAGAAAGTCAGAAGAAAACTGTTATTTACTACCTTTTGGACAGATTACTAAACCCCGTTGACTATAAACAAACAGGAAATTGTATTACTTTATGTAATGCTTGAGAGATACAAACAAATATATATAAAGTGCCCGGAACAATATCTAAGATTTAGGAGGTACTTTGGACTTCACTGAAGCAAACTGTTAATTAAGATGCTGAAGTAGCCATGTGCTTAAGCATATCAACCAAACACAGCAGTGACACAAAAGCAGGTGTTGTCTAGAGTGCCCAAGTTATCACATGTAAAGATGTTACCTCCCAGTGCTTCTCTTAAGAATTCTCTTGTACTAACTAGTGGACATAAAGTAAAAATTAAAATTCCTTTTTTTCCCTCATAGTATTGTTAACTGTGTAAGCTATATGTAAAAGGGACATAGAGGACTCAAATCATCATCAACTTTATCAACATCAACTTCATCAGTTTTATCATTACAATTTTTAGTTAGTATCAGATAGTAATATTTTGAGAGAACAGGGGTTTCAGTACATGGGTTTCCACTCTAGGTGCTATCTGTGCCTAGATGTGAATTTACAACGGGACTCCCTTCCCAGAGCTTTCTGAGCAACGTTTGAAGAGAATAGTTTGACTCCTTTGGAGGAATGTAAATCTGTACCTCTGACCTGTTCTAGAGCAGTGATTTCACATGATTAGAAGTCGTTCCTACTTTTGGCATTTACTTAAACTTCCTGGGTTCTTCCAATATGTAAGGTAGTAATCTCTTACCCGTTTTTCTCACCGCAAAGCCTTCCTTCAGGCACACCTGGGCCCTCAAGTGCAGACAGCCTCACTCTGCTACAGCTTAGCTGGGTTTCCAGTCTGTCAAGCTTAGAGGCTGCCTGTAGGTTAAGAAAGCATCTGAAGATGGACATAGAAGAAGACAATCTTGCATGTTCTTCACATGTACCCCAAAACCTAAAATGCAATAAAATAAATAAAGGGAAAAAAATGAAAATAAAATACACAGTGTATCCTAAAGCAGATAGCTGATCTTCAGGGAAGCACAGATATCCTGAGTAAGGCATCAGTGTCTCCCTCAGTAACCCCAGAGCCAGATTTTTTTGCCTTTGGCATTCTTGACTTTGTCCAGCTAGGTGCTTTATCAGCATTGCTGTACTTCAACTACTCTGACCTGTTTGCCCATCTTGACTAGTCCATTCCCCCAGGACCACTTTTTTTTTGTCAATACAACCTCTAGGGGGAATAACTAACATTAGTGCTGCAAGAGCTATTTTTCTTGTTCTAGGACAGGAGATGATCATGTCAACTTCCCACTCCAGGAGTCCAGATTAGGAAGTAATTGAGAAGTATTCTGGGGATCATGTCACGGAGATGAAAAAAAAAATGGGCTTAGTCAGAATGATGTATAAGAAAACATTTGTGTTCTAAGTAACCAGATACAGCATTTAGTAGCTGCTGAATGCTGAGAAAATTTTTCTGTATTTAAGCCATTTTTTTCTTTTGCAACCATACAATAGGGCATAATTTGTTGAACTGTAGTCAAAATATATATATAATATTATATATATATATAATATTATATATATATATATATAATTATTTGTGTGAAGTAGAAATCCCTTGCTCAAAAGTGATGCTTATGATAGCACTTATAAATGATTAAGGGGTATGGGATCCATATGCAGTTGGTCCATAATACTCAATCCTTTCACCAGCCACTGGACAGAGGGCTAAACATTCTACCATCATCATCCTGCAAAAACTGCTACTTACACGGGCCCCCAAATCTTCCTCTGAGCAGCCAATAAAAGACAAAGATGTGATATGATACAAAAAGTTACACTGCCATATTCTCACTATATAGCAAAGACATAAATCCCTCCAAAGTATAATTATCTTATCTCTTCATTCACAAATTACACAGGTAATAGACATTATCATGCAGAACCAGTTTGGCAAATCTTCACTTTAGATTAAAATCCAACACGCTGTTTGTCCTCTTTTTCAATTGCAACTCACCTTTTGCCACTAAGAAATGTATCTCAGTTATGCCATTGATGTTTCTTGATGCTTTTTTTCTAATGTTTTTCAAAACTCATGATGTAATTAATCAATATGTTTTTAACCGTAATGTAAGCTACCTCTAAGGTCCATCATTTTTTATTTCAATTTTCTTCAATGCCAGATAAATTCAAGTCATTTCCAATAAAATCTTGATTCAGGAGAAAATGACTTCATGGTAGTTTTTAGGGATACCACAGTTGCCGCATGCAACACATTTTTTTAAATCAATCTACCAAATTAGATTTTTCTAACATTTTATGTTATGATATTTTCCTGGACTAAAGTGTTTAATGTTTTCAGACACTTTTATTAGATTTTTGTAATATTTACAATGGACCACTATTTTAATAAAATTAATGGCTGAAACACCAAACACACATCGATCAATCTTTAGTCAATTATGTTTGAGGGAAACTTCATATAGTCATTCTACTGTGTGTGAACATCAGTAGGGCCCGTTAACACCTAACATTCTACAGAAATCAAGCATTATGGAAACTTGTGTAATATAGTTTAATCCAGCCTTTTTCAAACATATTTTATCTAGACAGCACTTACTAACATCTGGAACTTGTGTGCTGCAGGGCTCAATTTGGAAATGAATGCCTGGAAAATCTTTGGTTTAAGGCAGTGATTTTCAACAAGAAGGATCTTTCCTCAAAGGGCAT